TCCAAGAATAGTATTTAATCTAAAGTGTATATAGTAACTACTTTTTGAGCTCTTAGTTTTTAAATTGTTGAATTATTGTTTGACCTATAAACCAGTCACATGGTACACCACACTATACAAGTGACAAGTAAGATTTTGAACTAGCTTCTTGAACACCATTTCTTGAATTTAGAGTATTCTGTTTTAGATAGGTGCTTTGTCTTGATGTCAGAACAAACACTTGAACCTTTTTTATTAGGGAATGATTATATCATCAGTTTTTCATTCGGTTCAGTTCTAGAAGTTATTGATGTATATAGCTCAGAAGATACTATTCCATATTTGCATTTTAGTCTTTAAAATCTCCTGCTAATGTAACTTTCTCTGTGAAAAACAAACTGTATGAGTCCCCTCAAGCTGTTGGAACAAAGTGACAGAAACTGGCTTCACCAGTCAAAGTTTGTTGTCTCACAGTACTGGAGGCAGGAAATCTGAGATCAAGAAGTCTCCCGGGTTGGTTCTTTCCAAGGCTGTTAGGAAGAATCTATTCCAAGCCTCCTGTCCAGCTCCTGGGGGTTTGCTGGCAATCTTTGTGTTCCTTGGCATGTAATCTCTGCCTTCATCTTCATGCGGTATTCCTCCTGTGTGCATGTGTGTGTCCAAATTTCCCCTTCTTGATAGGACAGCGTCATTTTGGATCAGAGGCCCACCCTAAACCGTATGGCCTCACTGTAACTGATTGCCTCTGCACCAACCCTATTTACAAATACTGTCTACGTTCGGAGGTACTGGAGTTTAGACTTCAACATATGCATTTTTGGAATATACAGTTGAACTATAGCACAAATCTTGAATTTTTAGCACCATAGAGATTAGTCACAGAAAAGATACAGGAGCCACTTCTTCATATTACTGTTAGAATTGCTCCTGTTTTATCTTAGTCCAGGTGAGAACACTTTTGCTCTTTAAAGTGCATTAGTTTGGATAAGCCAGTAGATGGTAGTTGAGTGTTTGGAGGACTTTGTTGCCCCAGTTTTGCCCTACTGCAGTGTGGTCTCTAATGTCACCCTGTTTGTCTTTAGGAGACGTTGATCCAGCAGCACGTGTCATTTCATTAGGTCCTGTATCTGATGTTGTGGATAGTGGAGTCCTCCAGCAATTGAATGAGAGCAGTGGACACATCTCAGCATGTCGGTCTAGAGAGTTGCGAATCTAAACCTGGAACAGGCTGGGGCCATGGGGCAGAAACACCAGCCTCTGCCAACACCGGAACAAGCCGACGCTTCCAGACAAGGCAGAAAAGGCCTTTTGTAATGGAAATCACGTGAGGGTTAATCTTCTCTTGAGAATGGCAGTCAAGAAATGAGATGGTTCACTTGACTACAGAGCAGCTACACCAAGAAGAACGCCAGTGCGATGACTGAGCCAGAGAAGAAACAGTTGCGATGGTAATGGTATGGGGGAAATGAACTTGAGTTTTAAACTTGATTTGAGTTACAGTGTCTCTGAATTGAATATCCCATGTTGGAAGAAGACATATTTGGGGGCTCCAGGACTATAGTAGAAAAGTATAGAGCAAGCAGTAAAATCTTCTAGTAAAAACTTACATGCAGGACAACAAAATGATGAAAGATACCCAAATACCAGATAATCCACCAGGAAGGCTTTTGTTTAGGAATTTTTTCCAAGGGGAACAAGAGATGAAGGAGAAAAATCTGTTTTATACATCAGTCAGTGATACAAAATTGCCTATTTGAGTGAAAGAAAAATGTGAAGATTGTTAGTATACAGAGAGCGTTGAGTCAGGTGGCTTGTAGAAGTCTGAAACCAGCCTAACAACAGGGATATAGTTGAGCCCATTGTAAGTATCATGAAAACAAAACGTGCCGGTCAGCATGTCACAGAAAACAAACGAAGGACAACAAGAAGTAGATCGGAATATTTTGTTGACCTTCATGGGTTTACAGCCTCTGTCTCTAAACAAAATACAGAAACAAGTAGAGCTTTTGTTTTGCTTTTGTTTTTGTTTTATTTTGTTTTCCCCCCACTGAATAGAAATGAGGGTTCTTAGTCTGTTTCTGACAATCTGTTCATTTATTAGAATAGTTGTCTTTCGTTTGCTTTCCAGTAGGCATAGTGAATTTAGTTAAAGGGCACATCTGTATGCTACAACTTGATTACATCTTTTTTTCTAGCTATTTTGCATTTTTCTTTTACCATGTTTCAGTTTCTGCATGTAGATTTAAATAAAAACAAAATTTGTAAAATTGTAACATTTCACTTGGAAATGCTGCCCAATCTTCACCAGCTTCAGAAATCTGACCTTTGCCGACGCTGCAATAAAGTGTTGTAATTTAGATTTGTTGTGGTTTCGTTTTTTGCTTGGGATTCTGGAAAACTGTTGAATGGGTCAGTCAGTGTCTTTCAGGGTGATGTTTGTACTTAAAATATTCTCAGAGACCATTTCTTTACATTTTACTATTAGTGTTGCTTTCATTTTTAGCATTCAATGTTGTCTTGACCTTATTTGTCTGAGTTAAAATAAAAGTTTTTAAAGTAGAATTAGCACAGAATATGGTGACACAGTATGGTTTAGCCTGAGGCAACACACAAGGTTTCACTAAAGTATATTCAAGCAGAGTTAGTAAAAGCCCTGTAAGGTGGGCAAGTCGCAAAAAGAGCCACAGAATCACTACTTTACTTTTTTTTCCCAGTGTTAATCCTAAAACTGATTTACACAATCATACCGAGTTACAGTAATCATTCTTGCTAAAATTCAGCTAATAGTCACTATAATTTGAAAAGAATTACGGTATATTTTTAATTTTAAAAGTTTTAAAACTTCGCTTAAGAAATCCTGTTATCTAGCCTTTGCTACTGTATTCATCACTAACCTGTATATTGTTACTTACTATTGTCTTGTTAGGGAAAATGTTTTTTAAGTTTTTATCCTCTTCATGTTATTGCTAGATTTAAAGTTATTGCAGAGAGCTGGAGATAATTTTAAATTTACCCTTCATAATACATGCAGTGAGCAACACAGAGGACGTGTAAAAGGAGCCCTGGGGTGGTGACTCACTTGCGTTGACCTTTCATCTTGAAAGATGAAAGTGAGCAGGTGTTACATGTTTGGGGAACAATAAAGTATACAAATAGGATTTTTTGCCACATTGCAACTTCATTTGGCTATGTTACTGGAATAAAGATAAGATAAAGTTTATACCACCCCCAGAAAGTTTGCCTATTCTTTTAAGAGGGCTAGGAGAGCCGAAATTCGGAAAATCCTGTGACTCCCATAACTTGGTCAATCTTTTGGGCTTGCTTTTTCCCTTTGTTGTCTGCCAAAGATAAGTAGGTGCTCACAAGTCTGTCAGACTTCTTGCATGCATCTGTGATCCCTCCTTGATGTCTGATGAGCTGAGAAGGCCTGTGGGCAGCATAAGGATTTAAAGGTAAGTCCTTACCTTTTCCTAAGAGCTGTGTGGGCCTTAGGTTTTCTGACTTCACAGCTGGCCTTTACAAACTTGACCAATTTAAAACCAACCAGGGAAGTTACAGGTAGTACACAGTGACAAGAAAGGAAAACTTGGTGGAAGGGCAGGGGGTGGGGGATGATGAGACAAAAACACAAGAGAAACACCCCTTGGAGCAAAACTCAAGAAATCCAGAAGGTATTAACCCTAGCATATGGAGATAGGTACTGGGGGGAACACTCATTCTACAGATGAAGAATCGTCCTGAGAGGTGCAATGGCTTTATCTGCACCTTTCATTACAGTAAGTTTCAGCATTTTTTATGTGTAACAGAAATAACCTCTCCATAGGAAGGAAGTCATCCCAGGGTGGTGAAGCCAACAGTACAAAAAGTTAGACTCCAGGTTTCCTGACAACTGCAACTACATAGGAAATGTTTATAAGGTTTGTTGGGAAAAACCTAAGATATGTAAAGGTTGAGGTGAAAGATCTACAGTGTTCCTCCAAAATGGTTTATTATATTTTCAAGGGTTAATTCTCAACCATAGAGAGAGCTTCCAATGTGTTATTCAGTTGCAAATGAAAGAGACCTAGTTTAAATCTGCATAAATGCAGAGGAAATTGTAAAGATCCTAAAGTATGAAACCAAGCACAGTAATTATTGGGCTTTAGGCAGAACGAGTGCAGTCAAAGCCCTCAGAAACATTCTCCACTCCTCACCTTTACATTTATTATGGTAGTCAGCTCCATTCCCCATAACAAAGTACTACAGACTGGGTGGCTTAACCTCAGGAGGTAGGATGCCCAAGATGGAGGTATCAGTGAGGCCAGTCCCTGTACTTGGCGACAGCGGCCCTTTGCTGTGTCCTAAGGTGGCCTTTTCTTTGTGCACAGCATCCTACCCACTTAGAAGAACACTGGGCCTTTTTCTTTTTTTTAAGGGCACCAGTCTTACCTAAATTACTTGGCATAAGGACTTTAGCATATGAATATGAGGGGCAGGATTGTAGGAGTCGCTGTTTGGTCCATTCGTGACATACCCCATAAACTTGTGCTGACATCTGCTGAGCTTGTTTGTGTTTGTTCTCTTGCACAGGTGTGGAGGCTGACTTGCTGGACTCTCCCACCAGGGCTGAGTGTTCTGGGCGCTGCTGGCCAGGCTGCCTCCAGTGTCTGTCTTTGGACCAGTGGTCTGATGCCAGGAGCTTCAGGAACTGCCCAAGGGGGGCTCCTTCCTACATTAATTCAAAACTCGATGCGAGGCTTCCACATAGCTGTAAGTGTAATTAGTTCTCAAGTTTTTTTTTAAATCTGTGACTTCTAAACATTTTCCCACTATTTGTGACTGGGCCTGGCATTTTAGATTAACATTCAGACCAGTGCTCTTCTTGTTTTGAATGAAAATAAAATAGAGGAGAATCAACTTAAAATAAATTCCCTAAAGAATACTATAAATCACATTTTTGGCATTCTTAATTTAAATAAATTCTTCTTTTAATCTTTGAAAGTTCAAAGGATGTTCGGTCACGTGTTCATTAGACATGCTTCTTTCTGGAGGACTAACAAAATTGTTGTAATTATTCAAATATTTCTTTCCTTGGAAGATGTTCTTATATAGTTTTGGGGGAAAACCCATGTGCATGTATTATGTAAGTAGTAAATAGTTTTACTATTTCTTTGGCTTCTTTTCTGACATTGAAAAATTTTGTTTTCAGATTGTATGGTCAGTTTAATGTTAAATTCATGGATTCTAACACTCATGTACTTGGAGATCGTGGAAAGACAAAGTTTCATTTGCTAAACGTTTATTGATCTCATTCGATATACCCGGCACTGCTGTAGGCCCTAGAGATACAGAAGTGGAGGGAAAGTTCCTGTTCCGAGGAAACTAACATTCCAGCGGAGACACAGACAAGAAGTCCTGGGCGGGGCAGTGCAGTGTAGTAAGGTTATCCGTGACGTGCTCAGCACAGCACTTGGCATGTAGGAACTGTTGGTTTAGGGGTTGCTGCTACTACACATTTGCCTGTGGTGTTTCCTCAGCCAGAAGACGCTCTCCTTTCCTACCCAGCTTAACTAGCCTTTCAGCCATCACCTCTTTTAGGAAACCTGGCTTTCCGTCCCTCCTTGAAATTTGACTTTAGGGCTGCGCCCCTTGAGCAAAGATGCCAGTCTGCCTGCCTCCTCACGGGGTCGGGGGTGGGGGGCTTAAAAGAAGGCTGTCACTCAACTTCGGTTGTGCAAGTAAGACAAGCACAGCCCTGCACAGGAGTATAAGATGAGGAACGGGCCTCCCTGAGACAGGTGGACAAGTGCTTTTTGCCTCCTGGATAGGTATTTGAGAGAATCTGGTCTGTTGCAAGGAGTGGGCACAGCCATGTCCCAAAGCATGTTCCCTCCTTTGTTTGGAAGAAGACTTACGCCTGACCTCAGGATGGCCTCTCCCTGCTCTTAGTCTGGTGTGGCCAGTTAGCTCAGGAATTTGGCAAGTGGAGGCAGGTCCACTGGTGTATTTTCCCGTTACCTGACTCTGGGTGGAGCGTAGCTACTTAGAGCCTGCAGGGGTCAATACTGGCAAGAAATGTCTTCTCTGGACCTAAAGGCAGAACAGCTGCTAGTGCTGTGAACTACTGACTTTATCTGCAAGGGGAACAGGAGGGTTTCACAGATACTTGCTAAGCGGAATCACTCATCTGGAGCCTGTTTTCAGTAGAAGTCCACAGGTAAGAAATACTTAAATTCTTTCTACATTCAGAGGAGCAATAGAAGGTCTAGGCTGGCCATAGTTCACCCACTGACTAAGAGTGCTAAGATGTGTACTTAGCACTAGCTGTAGCACTTCCTACCGTTATCACTTGGATAATTTTTTACCTCTAACCTCAATTTTCTCATCTATAACATGGGGTTATAGGTTTGTATGAGGAGTTAGTGGCATAATGGACATGAGCATCATCTCAGCACAGAGTAAGTGCTCTAGCGGGGTTGGTAGAGCTGTGGAATTACTGCCTCCGTATCTGTGTGCCTGTTACGCTGCCATGTGCACAGTGAGCCACGCAGGCCCTGTCCCTGACGGTCTCATAAATCCTCTTGTGTGCAGAGTCAACGTCAAGTTCAGACCTAGCAGCCAAACTCACACTTAATTCCAACACTGTATTGCCCATGGAAGAACGTGCCTGAACAGTGGTGGAAGTGCCAGTCCTCGGGTGAAGCTGGGCTGGGCCGAGTTCTGGTCCTTGCCAAGTAGAGAATGTTATCTCCCTGGAGCTCACTGGATACTTAAATTAACCATAAACCTCTTATTTTCTCATTAGATGTTTTTAATTTTGTTTCCTCTGTTCCTCTTCCCTCAGAATGCCCAGATATGAACAGGCTGTTGGGTCAGGTCAGCTCAGGAGTTCTTCGAGATGCACCATGGTAAGGGTTGAGACTGACATGGGTGTCCTTGAAACCCCACGGGCTAGAGGCTTTTTCTTTCAGGAAACAGAGTAGGTCGGGGAAAGACTTAGAGTAATCTTGGGACTGAGAAGGGATTGGCAAAGAATAAGAAGTGAAGAGAGCAAAACAGGAAGCAGTTTTAGAATAAACAGAATTATTCCTTAATTTAATCAGTTTGACCACCCATTTGTTCGCCTAGTACGAGAGGATGTGGAGGCTCTGTGAGCCAGTGTTTACCGTGTTATGCGGACAGTGTGTTAAAAATGGAAACTGAGGAGTGGCTCTCATCCTTAGCGATTTGTACCCTGGCTCAAAGCCGTGTCTGAAGTGTGCATCCTGGTCCCGCAGTACTGTGCCGGTTGGCCGCTTTCCATCACTGACCGCTTTCCGTCACTCCACTGTAGTGGAAGAGGTGCTAGCTCTGGAGTTAAGGCTGGACTTGAATTCTGGCCCTGCTACTTCCTAGATAAGGTGTTTTTTTGGTTGTTTTTTTGTTTTTAACCGGAGGCTCTTTTTACTTTTTGTACAGTGAGAATAAAATTCTGATTGTCCCAGTAGATTGTGAAAATGGAATGCAAAGAATTTTCTCAGTACTTACTACGGGTTAGGTGGAAGTTGCAGTGAGGGCTGGGAAAGACCCGCCTCTGGAGCTTACACTCTAGAGGGAGCAACACACACGCAATAGTGCAGACTCCCAGTCAGAGGTGAGTTACAACAGATGCTGTCCCACACTGCCCAGCCTGCCTTTGCCAAAGGGCTTGTTCTGGGAGTTGTGCGGAATATGCTTGGGAAGTGGCCTTTGGTTGCCAGTCCTGAGACAGGTGGCCAGGGAGGTTCCATGCACTGATCGAGGCAGGGCCGTCATGGCCTAGCTGGCCTTGCCCAAGACAGGGCAACTCTGAAGGGCTCTTCTAACCACAGGGCTCCTGGGGTCTGTCACTGTCCTCACTGGTTAACTGCCTGAGGCTCCTGTGTAAGAGTCCTCCCCTTGGAGAAAGGGCTGAGCCAAGAGCTGAACTGTAAGGAGTGCCTGTGGACAAGGCTGCACATTGCAGGTGACGTGGTCAGAGAGCAGAACAAGGATGGCTGTCAGAGGAGCCTGGAGAAACCAGAGCCCAGGGAGACAGAAGGGGAGAAGAGGACGAGCAGCCGGCCCGCGTCAGAGCAGACTTCTGAGCCAGAGGGGGAGATGGGAATTCTGTTTAACACACGGGATCCATTTGATCTGACTTTAGAGGGCTGCGCTGCTGACTAGTGGAAAGCAAGCTAGCCTGAACATGGAATGAGGAAAAGCTGCGAGGGGAGCTATGGCCAGAACCCGGCCTTGACAGTGGACAGAGGAGACAGTCAAGATACGCTCTCCAAACAGAGTTGGAGGCCTTGATGGATTAGATGTTGCAGGTGGAGTGCAGGGACTCAGGGTTCCTGGCTGAGTGGTGAGGGTGGAGGCAGAAGGGGGCATGGAAAGTTCCCAGGGGTGTGGTTCACTGAGAGGGGAGCACACAGCAGCTTCCCACTTCCGTTTATGTAGTTTGCGTAGCCTGGCACTGTGCCTGATGCTTTTACAGGCTGACAGGAAAAACAGGCATTGTTGGGTGAGCCTGCTTTCTGGAGACCTCCTCGCTGTAGGTGGGCAGGCAGAGGTCTTGCCAGAGAGCCAAAGGGATTGATTGTGCGTCCTGGGAAAGGCAAAGGAGACACGTGGGGGCGGGGGTGGAGGAGGGCAGGGTGCTTCTCTGGAATTACTGTTCCATGTGCCACTTGTACAGCCGAGGCCCTGCCTATCCTCTTGGAACCCCTGAGCCTCGGCCTGGGGCTTGAGGAGTGAGAACGGTCCCTGTAGGGACAGAAACGGCAAGAGAAAGGGCTGACTGTAAGCTGATGCCTCTGTGTTCTGCCTGACCTGGATTTTCCTTTCCTTTTAATTTGACTTGTGTGTTTGCTGTACATGTGCTTTGCATTGTTCCTGCAGGAAGATCAGGAGATCCAAGTGGCCCTTGCTGGCAGTGTCCATGCATCACACAGCTGGGTCAGGCGGGACTCCCCACCCCAGCCTGCTGTTGTCCCTCCCACACGTCTGGACCTCACTCAGCAATCTCAGGCTGTCCAAGCTTAGGGAGCTGGCCTTTGTCATTGATTGTGCTTATGGTAACAAGAACAAGTCTACTCTTTGTGCAGACCTAAATCCAAAGATTTTTTGCTTTTTTTTCCTTAAAAGTTTTATGTTGTATGTTGAGTCCATGACCCTTTTAATTTTTGTATCAAATGTGAGGTTTAGGTATTCATAGGTTTTTCCAGCGCCAAGAGAAGTAAAGCAGAATAAAATGCCCTTATTGTGGGCATGGAGCAGACCACAAGGAAAGACAGAAAGAGATGTGGAACTTCTGAGGGTCTTCTGTGGGGTCCAAAGTTAAATAGCCCCAGGCTGGAGGCCGGTTTAGGAGGTGGACAGCCTGACACGGCAGACCAGGATTGGGTGGGAGCGTGGGAAAAGGGAACAGGATATTACAAAAAAGGAAGTAGGAAATCGTAATTGGACTCAGCGGAAGAAGGATGGGGCTTAGCACGTGGCCTCTAGTGGCTAGCGCCATATTGGCTGGACGCCATAGTGACTCAGCAGGAATTACAGCGGGGCAAGAAACCAGTCAGGTATAATACAGTTTTGTGCCTGTGGATGTCCATTTGCTCCAGCACTGTTTGTTAGAAAGCTCCTCTTCCTCTGCTGAACTACTTTTGCACCTTTGTAAAAGTTAGTTGGTGCTGGGCACATGCCTGTAACCCCAGCTCTCAAGAGGCCGAACAGGAAGATGGCGAGTTCAGGGCCCGATTTGGGCTACATTGGGAGTTCAGTAGCCTGGACTACTTGGAAAGAAAATTCTATCTCAGAAAGCAAACACTGTGCTGTGTCTGCATTCTTTATTCTGTCCCAGTGACTCCTGTGTCTGTTCTCCAGACACCAGGCTGTCCTGATTGCTGTCATACACAGTAAGCTCCAGTAACAGTGATTGCTCCCGCTGTGTTCTTCTTTGTTAGGCTTGTCCTAACTAATCCAGTTCCTTTGTCTTTCCTTATATATTTTAGAGTAAATTATGTCTACAAATATCTTGTTGGGATTTTAGTAACAATTGCATTAATATAATTATTTTTGCCGTGCGAGTGACCAAACTCAGAATGTGCATGCTAGGTATATTCTCTCCCAGTGAGCTGTACCCCTAACATTTTTGATGCTATTATGAATGGAATTATTTTCTCAATTCCATTTTCAAATTGTTCATTAGTAATAGAAATGAAATTGATATTTTTATATTGACTCGTATCTTGCAGCTTTACTGAGTTGTTTAATTAGACCAGGTAGCTTTGTAGTTTCGTTAGGATTTTCTTCTTACCATATTGTGTCATTTGTAATAAGAGTTGGTTTCACTTGTTGCTTTCCAATCTGGATGTTTCTTTTCTTTTTCTTACTTGATTGCACTGGGTAGAATGTCTAGTACAGTGATCAGCAGATGTGGTAGGAGTATATATTCCTGTCTTGTTCCTGATCTGAGAAGAAAAGCATTCCCTTTTTGCCTTGCAATATAAACAGAAAACCACATACCCACCAAGGGCTGGGATCCTGAGAAAGGGGATGTTGGATGAGAGAGGTCTGGGAAGACTTTCCCGGAAGGATTTGGGAGTACAGGCCTACCCAGGCAGGAAGTTTGTGAGTTCGTCCTTACAGTCTGCTACCAGAATTGGCCTATAAAAAGGGTGGATTTCGGGCTGCTGCCAGCAGTGTGGCTTTTCTGTGTGTCCTCTGGTGAAGTAGATCTATTCTCTTCCCACTGTACATACAGGAAGGGTGGCCACACAGCCCCCAGGCTCCTGTGCCATCCCCAGGCTGCATCCTCTTCCTCATCACTCTGGAGTGGGCCTGGCTGGCAGCAGCCAGACTGAGATGCTTTCTGCCACCCACCCACAGGAAGAAAGCTGGGGCAGAGAACCTGGAACACTTGGCCAGGGTGCCTGATGCAGCTGCTGCCAGGGACCTGCAGATGGTCTCAAGTTAAAAACCTGACCTTCATTTCCTTCTTCCAGCAACCGTTCACTTGTTCAATGCATTTGAGCAGCATAGGTACGTGCAGACCAGCTGGCAAGGCATAGCATAGCGTGACATCTACCAGTAGGGTCCTCATTCACCAGACATTTGTCATTTACACTAGAGGGGTGAATTTCAGAAATATTTTAGGGGAAAATGTGAGCTCTGGGATAAAAGAGGCAGAAGCCAAGATAGGCTGGGAAAGGGTTTGAGAGTCTGCATTTCTGACATGCTCCTATGTTGGAAGGTCACGCTATGAATAACCAGGCCCTAGAGAACATCTGATGTGATTTGGCTGGGGAATAGTGGTAGAGAAGAGCTGGAAAAGTAGGCAGAGGCCAGGTTCCAGGCCGAGGAGTTTGAACTGTATTTGGCAGGCAACACACCACCTCTGAAGGTATTTGGGTCATGAAGTGAGCCAGCCCTGACTTAGGAAAATTAGCTAGAAATCACTCAGAGGAAAGGCTGGAGCAAGAGCGACTAGAAACACAGTGATGTGTCATCCACCCACCCACCTAGCCATCTGCCTACCCATCATACACATTTGCTAGATACATATTCCAGGAAAAATGATGAAGGGAAGCCAGTCTTCCGCCAGAGGGATCCCAAGCCTGAGCCCATATTATGTCTACAGGGTTGCATAGTGGTGTGGACAACTAGCACACCTAAGGGCATGAGGCTCCCTGCAGGAGGGGACCCTTGAGACCTGTCAGAGAACAGTGAGAGTTGTTAGGGTGAGAAGGGTCCAGTTAGAGGGAGCTACTTGAGCTAAGGGTGGAGGCAGAGAAGGCCAGAGAGGTGTACTAGTCAGGGTGCCGGCTCACAAACAAGAGAGCTGGTTCTGATTACATCAGTGTATCGGTAGCCCCTAGAATTGACCCAGAGCTTGGAGAACCAGCTTAGGCAGGAGCCCAAGGTCCTGCCCTGTTCCCTTCTCACTGAGGAATATCTCCAAGAGGGCAGGATGTGGCCAGCCAAGATGATAATGTCCACCATCAGCAGCAGTCATAACTACTAGAATCTGGCACACTTGGCACACAGCCCTGTGTGAGGTGCTTCACACAGATCGTCACCTGGCCTCCTCCCTGTAATACTAGAAGAAGGACCTCCGCAGTAAGGCTGGGGAAGCTACGGCTTAAGGAGGATCAGAAACTTGCCCAGGGTCACCCAGCTGCCAAGTGCTGGAGGTGCAGTTGAAGCTGAGTCTGTTGAACTTGCAGACCCAGAAGAGTGAGCTGGAAGCGGGGTGGGGCAGGGCCGGGCCCGCAGGAGTGCGAGGACTGGGGAGACACAGTAGCAGTGTGATCTCCAGGGTCTCTGATAGCCACTGCCTCCACCAGAGAGGGAAAGACAAGAGTGCTTGGTGGGAAGGACTGTGGCCTGCGGCTGACGGAGAAGCAGGACGGCCAAGAGCAGGTACCTGCATACCCTGGAGACATCAGGTGTCAGCCTTCTGGGAGGCAGAGATGAGAGAAAGGTCAGGGTCCGCAAGCCAGAGGCTGGAGTTCAGAGCCTGGTGGATCCCTGGAGGGGGTGGGAGTCAGGACTCAGCTGTCACTTCATGTCATCACTGGGAGGTGGGCTGCGTTTATCCTTGGTGGGTACTTCAGGCCCACAGATACAGCCAGCAAGGGTTTTGTTAGTTTTTGTCTTTTTGAGGCAGGGTCTCGCTATACAGTTCAGGCTGGCCTTGAGCTCACTTTGTAGCCCAGGCTGATACCGAACTTGAAACAGTCCTCCTGCCTTAGCCTCCTAAGTGCTGGGATTACAGGTGAGCATCATCACGCCCAGCCCAGCAGGGATTTAGAAGACAAAAGTGCTTGGCGGAGATGGCCAGGACTTGGGATAGGGGGCAGGGCAGGGCAGGGCATTCAGGGACAGAAGAGGCCGCCCAGGGCACACACCTCCGCATACACACACTGTCTCTCAGCTCTCTTCCACCTGTGTGGTTGCAGTGCGTCCCCTAAAGTTAATGTGTTGGGACCTTAATTCCTCAGGGGGGTGGTGTTGGGAGGTGGGGCCTAGTGGGAGCTGTTCAGGTCCTGGGATGGAGGCCTTGTACAGGTTAATCCTTTTCTCACAAGAGTGGGTTCGCCCTGCAGCACTGGACCAGTTACCGGAGGAGCAGATTTTTATAAAGCAAGGCTTCCTGCCACATACCCACCTCCCTTATGTTTTCACCAGGAGATGAAGATGAGCCGGCATACAACCTCTGCTGCTGCCATGCTGATAGACTCTTAGCCCCTGAGCTGTGAACTAAAATAAACTTCTTTCCTTGTAAGTTCTCTAGTCTCAAGTACTTCGTTATGGTAAAAACTAAACACTAAAAGCAGGTACGATGGTGTCAGCGTCTGATGTGGCCAAGGCAGAATCCTGGGCAACAGCGAGACCCCGTCTCAAAGAAAAAAATGTTTCTCTGTCTCTGTCACCCCACCTCTCAGGTCTGAGTTAGAGCCCTTTGTGAAAGAAGGGATGTGAGTTGATTGAAAGGTGGTAAACTACAAAAGTAGAAGCTGGTTGCGAGGCCTGAGATTAGAAAGGAGAGCTCCGGCTGAGACTCGGAGAGGCTGGGATTTGCAGGCTTCCCCGTAGGAGGTCCGGCTGTTTCCCTGACTCACAGGTGGAAGTGGTCAGTGCACGGCACAGCGGGCTCACCTTTCCCTCTGACCAGCGCACAGCACAGCGGGCCTGGCAGAGCAGGGCGCAGGGTCAGGGCTGGTCTGTGGGCTGCTGTATAAAGCACAGGCTGGGCCGGAAGTACGGGCACTGTTCTCTGAGGCTGAGTCCAAGACGAGGGGGTCAGCAGAGCTGGGCCCAGGAAGAACTTCCCCTCGGCTTGCAGAGGGCTGCCCTCTTGCGTGCTCATGTGGTCTTCTGGGAGTAGGCGCACTCGGGGAGCCCTGTGGTTCTCTTCCTCTTAGGAGGGTGCCAGTCCTGTCTGATTAGGGTTAGGTCACCCTGCTTACCTCATTCAATCACCTTCTTTAAGGCCGCATCTTCAGGACAGTCACATTGGGGTTTAAGTCTCAAAAACTCATTGGGGAAGACAGTTTCTCCTCTAACAAGGTCCCGTAGTTGAGCCCTTCTATCAGTGGAAGAACCAAGCCTCAGAGAGGTTACAGGATTGCTCAAGGTCACGCCTCTGGCCTGTAGCCCAGCCAGAACTGGAAAGACAGTGGCTTCTGACCGTACCGTGTGTGGTGAGGTGTGCCTAGGAGTGTCCTTGAGGAGCAAGCCTGTGTTTACCTGAGAGGAGCAGGGGCGGGGGCAGGCCCACCCTGAAGTCAGTGCTTGGCTGGGCGGCCGGGAAGACTTCCCGTGTGAGAAGGCCGTGAGTCACTGGAATGTCGACAAAGGCAGCTGCGGGGTTTCTTCTGACATTGGCAGAGTTTGGCAGTTTGGGAATGGGCCTCCTGAGTGTCATGAGTGCTTAAAGGTTTCTGTAAACTTAAATTTCTACGCAGGGATTAGGAAACTACTGAACTGCAGCCTGCTGAAAGTAGAAAGTCTTGCCAGGAGGAAAGAGGCCTGGGAAAAAGTCTCTCCATGCGTATCTGTGGCTCAAGGGCTCAGCCTTGTTGGGGGAGGGCAGGGACTGGGCAAGAGCTGTTTGCCCTGGCTGGGTAATGCAGATAAGTTGCCCTTTCTGTTTGTATTTGCAGACTTGGGGTGGTGGGTGGGGTGAGGGCAAAGTTTTGGCGGGCAGGGTCAGGCCCAGAGCAGGCAGGAGGGGCTGTGGGCAGCAGGCAAGGCAGGTCCAGGCCTGCGTTTGTTGGGCAGTTCCTGAGGGCTGGCGGGGAGGGAGGAGAGCCTGAGCCGAGCTGAGGGGGCCAGCACTGTTGCAGGAGGCCGTCTCTCTGTCCTGTGCTCATTCAGATTTCTCTATAGCACACCCTTGGCTGCTTGGGACTGATTTAGGGCAGAAAGACTTCCTTTTCTGAGAAAATGATGTTTTTATTAAAAATATTTTTATCCGCTGGGTGCAGTGACACCAGTATCCCAGCAGTCAGGAGCTGAAGCAGGAGGATTGCAAATTCAAGGCCCATCTGAGCTATATAATGAGAGTCTTAAAAAAAAAATGCAGAAGGAGAGGAGAGGATGAGGCAGAAGAAGAGGTATCAAGAAAAGTACTTTTATCCAAAAAATTCAAGAAAAAATGGTTAGCAGAAAGATGAGCTTAGGCGGGCCTTTTTAGTGCCACACATGCCGTTTTTAGGAAAAGGAGCCTGTGGAAGCCGCCTGGCTTGTCCGTGCCGCAGTGGCTGCTGTGCTCCTGATTGTGGCCGTGCATAACTGGGTTGCAGAACAGGGTCTTTAAAGAACTCACATACAAATGTAACAGTAAGTTGGCTTGCTCTTGTTGTGGCCTCTGTTCAGTGTCTCTGGCTCAGCGTAACAGAGCCATCAGCCCCTTCAGAAAAGGAGGAAGGAGGTAAGTGAAGGTGTCGTAGGACAGCCATCTGCTGCTGTGGGTCCCTTACCCCATTCCTGTCCCGCACAGCTAAAAGATACACAATCCCCACTGGGGATACAGCTCAGCAGCACAGCCCCTGCCTGGCAAACACAAGGTTGTGAGTTTGATTCCCGGTACAAAAAAAAAACAAGATGCACCATCTTTAGAAAAGATGACAAAGAGCTTTTTACAAAAAGGAGTTCTCCTAGGACTTTTAGGTGGAGAGAAATCATGCTGTCTGGAATTCCACACTCCACCAAATCACATCTTCAGGAAAGCTTCACCCAGCTGGCCTTGGTGCATGTGTATAACCCCAGCACTTGGGAGGCTGAGGCAGGAGAATTTCTGCAAATTTGAGGCCAGCCTAAACTACATAGACCCTCTCTAAAAAACAAAAAAAAAACCCTTCACTCTATCTGATGAGGCCCCATGAAAGCATCATAGCACAGGAGAGCTGGAGGGGCCCTGGCCGTCCCTGCTTTCAGGGATGGGGAAGAGAAAGCATATCATACAATGGCCAGGGGACCCAAGTGTGATGCAGTGTTTTTTGTTTGATTGTTTGCAGTACTGGGGATTGAATCCAGGGCCTTTGCACTGAGCTACATCTCCAATCCTTTTTTAAAAGTTTTTATTTTTAAATAAGTGCACATTAAGTCCCTCAGCCTCCCAGGGCGATGGGACTCTATGCGTGTGCCTCGGGGTCCGGGCAGTCTTGATTTCAAACGCTCACTCCTGCTCCTACCGGAGCAGCTTCTGGTTAGAGACTGCTGCTTTGGGAAGTACGGCCAGTACCTGACCTTCCTTACATGGGCCTTGACTTACCCGAGCCGTGAGAACACCTGGGAAGCGAGGGCTCTGCAGAAGGCAGCCCCTGTCCTCCAGGGTGGCCTTGTGAACCTGGGGTCTGGGTGGGTGCTCTAGGAGTGTGTGGTCGCTCCCGAGCCCCGGGTCCTCGCGCCTCACATCCGCTGCCTGACTCTGTTCTCAGGGCCCGAAGGGAAAGATCCTCATCTGCTCTAGCTGCTCTTGGGTGTTCTTCTACCGACGCCTCTCCGGGGCAGGAGGCTGGGTGATGCCACTGACCTGGCCACTGGCCTTGGACGTGTGCGTCCTCAGCCTGCGTAACACGCTGTGTGCTTTAGCTGCTGCACGGCACGCAGGGCCCCCTCACCCCACCTGCAGCCCCTGGGTCCAGGTGGGGTGTCAGGGGAGCTGGTTCGTGTCCTGTTTCTGTCACTTGCTGTCTCTGTGACCGTGGACAAGAGATTCCACCTTCTAACCTTCAGCCCACACGTCCTTCACTAGAGATAGCAATGGGCCTGCTTCACAAGTTTGTCATGAGAACAGATTAAGGGAAGCCCCATAAAACCCCAGCCAATTGCTGGGGTCCAAACGTTCAGTGCCTCATTCCTGTTCAGTCAGTCCTGAGCCCCTGGCCAGCACCCGCTCCTGCATCGCCCATCCCGGGACGTAATCACGACACAGTCACAGGTCTTTGGTTTTCCTTGACACTGAAAACGGTGAGCCTACATCGAACAGGCCATTTGGGTGCTAAGTACTGATGTCTCGGCCTAGCCCCGGTCTCCCCAACCATGGGCGGCGAAAGGCTTAAATAAAAGATAGTAGTATGACTGGGGGGCTCCAGGAAGGTCAGAACTCTCGGGAGTAAAGGCTGTCTGGGAACTGAGGTAAGGAACTTCCCCAGACAGCCTGTATATCTTCCATAAAACTGGGGGGATGCAGGGAGAGGTGGACATGAAAGCCCAAAGCCCTCGAAAATTACCAGGCCCCTGAGAAAAAAGGCAGTAAATTTTGCCAGTTAAGAGAATGGTTTGGTCTCAGGGTTGGCAACCCTGCCCTCAGCGGCCTCCGCCACGGTCCCCTTGACTTCAGAGCGCTGTGCATGTGCTGTTTTCCAGCCCAGCCAGAGGTCCCTGTGCCCAGCAGCTTAACCCTGAGAGCCCCTCTCCAACAGCCAAGAGGCTGGAGACCTTGTCAGATTGAGTCGTGGGGCCTTGGCTTTGGTTCGTCTTACCTTAGGAGCGCCGTTTTCCCCAGATGATAAATGCAGCCTGAGTGAGTGGACTCCATGCCTACTCCCTTAGCAAACTCAGACAACACGGCACTGACGAGGCGCAGCCAGGCCCCTGGGCCCACAGCTATCCTAAGACGAATGGTTCTTGAGATCTTGGCAACTAACTACAGGCTGCACTCATCTCAGACAAACCTTGGTCAGGTCCCGCTCCCAGATACCCACAGGGCCCCATAAGGCCTGCTGACAGCAGAGAGCCTTGGGCATCACCTCTGGGCCCTGGGCTGGGTGTGAGGTTCCCAAAGTCACAAGGCCAAGAGCTTGCTGTCATTTTTGACCTGACCTGTGTCACCTTGGGTGAGCCTGGCCACTCATCGGAGGGCCACCTTCAAGGGGGGAGGCAGTCCTGAGGCAGCCCTGAGGCAGCCCTGAGGGCTGCCACGTGGTGAGGAGCCAGAGGTAGCTGGAGACTGGCAGAGGAGAAGGAAGACCTGGGCAGCAGAGGAAGCGTCTCAGGCTGATAATCGCGGTGGCATGAACTCCGCCAGGTCCCAGCAGGGGCTCTGCTCCCTGGGACTTCACCCCGTGCCAGGAATGCAGTCCTCTCCTGGCGAGGGATAGGAATGGAATGTTCTGGGGCCAGCAGGTGTGTGCTCAGTGATGTCAGAGGACCAGGGCTGGCTGGGGGCCAGACTCTCAGAGGTCAGGGTGAGTTTCAGCTTCTCTCCCTCCCCTTCATCTCCTCTGCTGCTCTTTTATCCCTTTTCTTTTCTGAGACAGTCTTGCGGTGTTGCCCAGGCTGACCTCAGACTCGCCGTCTTCCTGCCTCAGCCTGCCGGTAGCTGGGATTAGGCTGCTCCTGCTGTTCCTCTTCATCTGGTCCTCCTCTTCGTCTTCTCTTTTCTTTTTCCTTCCTTTTAAAACTTTTTCCTTAGGAAAAGGTATATTTATTTATTTATTTTTTTGGTTTTTCTCCAGTACCAGGAACCAAACTCACGACCTTCCACTTGCCAGGCAGGTGCTTTACCACTGAGCTAAATCCCCAGCCCCAGGAAAAGGTATATTTAGATTATAGTGTAAACAACTAAGCTCTTCGGGGCCTTCCTCCTCTCTGTCCTTTAACAAGCTTGACACGGCCTTGATCCTAGGCTTCTGAAACTGGGATCACAAATCCCAGGGGTCACTTGGTGATGCGCCAGGGGGGTAAACAGGGCCATAGGATAACAGAGCTTGTTTCTGGAACATGTTTATTCAATGATGAGAAAGCATTATTAGTTGAAACAAATATAATCATGCCATTGAGAAGAAAGAAGCTGCATGAATTTTAAAGACAAGGTCCTCTCTGCATATAACAGCTAAATCCATCCTCAAGGCTGAGAGGAGCACAGTTCCCACAAAACTGCTCCAGATGACTGCTGTAGAAGCATCCTGGCATCACACAACCACCACAGAGGTCTGTTTTCCCCAGTACTGGGGGTCAGATGCAGACACCAATGAGCTACCTCCCTACCCCCTAGGTAATTTATAATCTTAACTGACAGATGATGGGTTGATAATGATGTAAGACTTACGTGTTTTTCCAAGGTTAGGATTTCTATCAGTATTGACCCATGTTACCCATTCTGAGCCCAGGGGAGGGCAAAGGGCATTCACAGGAATGTTCTGCCTCCTGAGCATTTGTTTGTTTAAAGGCTTCGGAGTTTTAAGACATGCCAACAGACTGAACCAGGCATAAAGATGAGAAATCCCAGGGGAGCCGGGCGTGGTGGCGCACGCCTGTAATCCTAACACTTGGGAGGCTGAGGCAGGAGGCTGAGGCAGGAGGATCGTTGTGAGTTGAACACGAGCCTGGGCTACAAAGTGAACTCAAGGCTAGCCTGAACTGCATAGTGAGACCCTGTCTCAAAAAGACCAAAAAAAAGAGAAATCCCAGGGGAAAAATATTAGGGAAGAGTTTGTGCTACAAGGAAAATTAAACCTTTCAAGAGAGAGTAAAAATATTAAAAAACAAGAGTGCTCAGACACTGGAGAGACGTCAAGTGGGCCAGGCACAGAGGCTGCTAGGAAGTGGAGGCTGCAGTCGGTGCTGTCAGGACCCCCGTTGTGACCTGGACGCTGCGCTGACCCTGGTTCCAGTCCTCATCTACACCCCGGTTTGCTCCAGCACACCGCTCACATTTGAAAGGAGGAAAGTCTGTGGTGTCCAGCCAGCTCAGAGTCTAAAGACACTGTCACAAATGTTAGACAGAGTCTGCCTAAAACTTACATTTGCTCTGACAACTCCGTACTACTCTTACAACACCAAATATTAGGTAGGTGGATGCTACAAGATTGAGATGGTGTGTGACTAGATAAAAGGTGTGTGTGTGTTTTGTGAAGCGTGTCTGCCTATCTCACTGCACACAGGGTCCTCGTTCCCGGAGGTGGGACAGTGACCTAGTCAGGTCCATAGCGTGACTGTCCATCATTCTTTGGAGTTCCCCTGCCTTCTCCTTAAGCCTGTGGTACCCTGTGTGCCACCCAGAGCGTTCCATGCAGTGGCCCCAGATGCCTGAGGGCATGGTGTCCTTGTGATGCCAGGAGAGCTTCCTGGGTCACCAGCTGCCAGAGCCTTTGATCTTGGCATACAACGTGGTGCCCTTCCTCTGCCCTTTAGCTGGCTCGCGCTCTGGCAGTCATGGTGGGTCACAGCAGAAGGGGCAGGCAAGGTCCTCCTGCGGCACACACTTCTCTGGATGGAGCAACAGTGTGACCCCCTAGGGTGCGGAGTGGGCCCGTATTTGTCGCCCTGCTGGAGAGAACAAAGCTAAGGCCCAGGAAAGCGGAGAGAACAAGCAAGTAAACCGGAAGCAAAAACAAGACATGCTAGACCGGATACTTTCTACAGCTATCCATGCGAAGCCTTTCTACCCATCGTGCCCTGCCCCGTGGGGTAGAGCAGCCTCCTGCGTGTATGCGTGAGGCTCGGCGAGACTGACTTGCTACGTGCCACTCCTTCCTCACCAGTCCCATCTCAGGGGCACAGTTACCTCCGTTTTACACATGAGAGACCAAGACGTGGAGATGCCAGGTTTCTCACTGGTAGTCAGAAGCTAATAAACACCAACAGGTCTGGAACCTGGAAATTCTGATCTGGAACCCGTGGATTTACCATCCTTTCCGACAGTCCGGGCTCAGAGCGATCAACCGGGCTTCTACACACTCCGCTCCGCTGAGGCTACCAATGCTCCTGTCAAGGCCAAACAGCCCTTCCATGGGGATGATCTAAATTGGCAAGGCCGAAAAAGAACCCGGGGTGCAGCTGGCCGTCAGTGTACCCCAGTTGCTCTTGGGACCACGCTGATGGGTGAGGATTTGTTTTCCCTGCCTCCTGCCCGCATGCTGGCTCAGGCTGCTGTCTGTAGCCTGGACTGTTTCTGCCTCCTCAGCGGAAGACTTCTGCCTGAAGTCTTGGCCAAGGGAGGCTTGGTTCTCCCGGGGGCCCCTTCCTCCCTCTCAAGGAGCATGCTCTCTAGCACTTCCTGGCCAGACTGAGAAGGTAAGGTCTCAGTGTGCAGAAGGAAGTGTCCAGAAGCTTTGTACCCTGACGGTAGAGCAGGGTGCTGGGGGCCAAACCTCCAGCAGGAAAGGATGTACACTAGACAGCAGACATTGTTAATGTCAGAGGAGATTCCTGAGAGGCCAGCGAGACGGAGCTGTGTGTTCTGGCTCAGGCCCGGCATGCACCTCTGGGCCAGGAAAATTGGCTCAGAGCCACATATGCCAGGACTACAGAAAGCGGGAGCCCTGTGAATTCTGAACAGCTGCAATCCACTGCCCCTGCAGCAGGCTTTGCTGGTTGGTGCCGGGGTGCATGCCCCCTCACAATACTGAGCTTGCTAAGTCCTCAGCCTGCCCTCAGCCAGCTGTGGAAGGTGTGAGCTCTGGTGAACGGCGGCGTGTGGGTAAGGGCGAGCAGCGTGTGAGGTCTGGGTCCCACCTTTACAAGGAAGGAGCGCCCCCTTGCCTTTTCCCTGTGCCTCTGTCCTCTGGGCGGGGAAAGGAAGCGTGCGAGCAGAAACTGGAGGACCTGTCGGGGCACAAGATAAAAGCACATTTGGAGGGTGGTGCCATTCCTCTGCCCTCAGAGGTTAGGGTGAGTTTTTAACCCTGTTTGGAGGGTGGCAGGCAAATAGGTAAGGGCTCCTGATCCCTGAGGGTTGTGGGGCTTCCATCCCGGCTCCGTGTCCCGTTTGAGCTTTTATATGACAGAGATGTGGGTTTCTGTTTTTATCCAGTACTGTTTGGGTTTCTGTCACTGTGGGCAGGATGATACCACACTACTGCATCTCAAAGGTCAGCTGAGTTCCCCGATACCTTCCCTTTGGGTGTGATGGCTTCACAGTCCCCGGTGTGTGTGACACACCAGGCACTAGGGGCTCTACCGTGCCAGACCTCATCGTCCCGGCATCCCAGGGAATAAATTTTGGGGTGAATTTGTAGGAAAACAGAAGGCCATTCCCGGCAGCCTCCTTCCCTGCAAGCGTGTGCCTGCTCCCACACAGGAGCTTTTGATCAGTGCTTCTAAAAACTGGGACCAGTTCTGACTCTGGCTCATTCCAGCTGAGGTTCTGTTGGTCAAAAAAAAAAAAAACAAAACACCTGGTAGGAGAGGAAGAGCCCACTGGGCAGGCAGCAGAGATCATCCTGTGTTTCAGACATGGCGGTACCAGGCAAGGAGAGGCTCTGCACCGATCTCTCCACATGCAAAAACAAGCAGGAGCTGCCCTCTACAAGGCCGTGTCCTGTGATTTGTCACCACAGGAGACTGGGAAACTTCATTCAAGTCCGATTGTATTTTCTAAAGATGACTGCCATTCTGATCTGACTTGTAGTGTGACTAAAAGGGAAAAAATAAGCAAATGAACAGCAACAACAAAACCAGACACCCTCCTGCTTCTGAGGAGGAGGAGCGTCTAAGAACTGGTGTCACTTCTGGCTCCCAGTTGACGGCGAGGCCCAGCCCTAGAAGCAGCTTGCCCATTCCCAGTGTCAGACAAGCCGGGAGACCTCAGCAAACTTCCTTACCCCTCATTTGCAATGATGAGCTTGGCATTCTGGCACCTGGCTTCGTCCGGGCTGTGCCGTAGCGAGGACAAGTTGGTCTCTGGGGGCTTGGCCTCTCCAGCCACAGACAAGCACGTTCTGTAGGCTTCAGGGGCAAGGCCAGGAGCAAAGCAGACCAGCTTCTCTCCGACACACCTGTATTTCTGCTGCTTTCCACACAATGGATGCCCTTACGTTCTGTCTCCTCAGCGTCTCTGAGCAAGAGACTCTTTCCGCTGAAATAAATCTGTTGCTTCTCCTTTCGTAAGTGTATGTGTATCTCTCCTAGAGAGAGAAGTTCTTCTCCAGTACTCTTCAGCCACGGTGACAAATATCAGGAGTGGCATCAATCCAAGGACGACTAGAGGTCACCAAGCGGGTGTCCTGGAGACGTACTTTTTGTATGAGTTTGTGGTGGCCTCTTGCACACTCGTGTTTCTGGCAGTCTTTTGTGATTGTCACTGGGGCAGCCACGTGTGAAACCCTTCTGTAGCCGCCTGGCTTCACTGACTTTCTGTTGTTGCTGTTTTTAGAGGTGGCATGAGGGACCCCTTTTTGAGTTTAACAACTTTGCGTTTCTTTCGTGGTAACAGCAGGGTCCATCGTGGAAACATACTGCATGTAGTCATCACGTTCCTGTATCTCCGCCCTCCAGGAGAATTCTCCGGTCTTTCGCTGACCTGCAGGTCTCACTCCTGACGCGTGTTGCAGGGTCAGTGTTCGCAGCAGCCCCTCGGCCTGGGTTTTCGGTGTCCCTCCCTTGGACGCAGGAGCTGACCCTGTGAGGGGAGCGTCGAGGAGGAGACGCTGCGCTCTTACGGCCTCCGTCAGCGGCGAGCGAGTCCCGTCCTCTCGTCCCTGTGTCCGCAAGCCTTGGTCGTGGGAGCACCTGCCCGCCTTCTCCGTGGGAAGTTACTTCTCCTTTATAATTATTAAGTCTTTTGTGGGAAATAGCTTGAAACTTTGTAAATATCACATTACTCATCAAATAAGTAATTAAAGTTAATAATTATAAATATAATTACGAATATAGCTATGACTATAATTAGTATCTGTTTGGCCTCGTGTGGTTTTCTGTTTTACTTAATGAGTTGTAATGGGTTACAATCTATTACCATTACATTGTTTAATTTATTTATTTATTTAGTTATCCTTAGCAATAATTGGAGATTGAACCCAGAGCCTTTATACTAGCTATGTCCCCAGCACCCCCCCCCTTTTTTTTTGACACAAGGTATAACAGAGTGGCTAAGTTTCCCAGGCTAGGCTTGAATTTGTGATCCTCCTGCCTCAGCCTCCCTGTGTGCTGGGATTAAAGGCCTGTGCCACCCACCATGCTTTATTTGAGACAGGTTCTGGCTGTGTAGCTTGAGGCTGGCCTCAAACTTACCATTCTCCTGCCTCAGCCTCCTGTCTTAGCTCCCTCAGCTGGAATATTGGCATGTGCCACCCTGCCTGACCTATATTGCTTATTTTATACTCAAACTACGCCAGCAGCTTTGTTCAGTGGAGGCCCTTCAAACTGGCTTCTTTGTCCTTTTGACATGCTTCCTTTACTCTTAAAGTATTTCCTAACTTTCTTTTTTGGTTTTTTGTCTGTTTGTTTGTTTTGTCTTGTTTTGTTTGAAACTCGTTATCCATTTCAGGTTGGCCTTGAACTCATAGTGATCCTTCTGCCTCAGCTTCCTGCATGCTGGAATTACAGGCATGCACCACCACACCCAGCTGACTCTCACACACAAAAATATGTCCTAGGCTCACCTCGGAGTCTCCCTGGCTGAGTTCTGGAGTCTTTTGTGGAGAATGAATGGTATCCAGAAGTCAGTGTCTGTTTGCCGTGTTCCCCATGAGTACTGGGGTGTCACTGCCTTCGGGCCCCCGGTAGACTGAGCTCGGCGCCGTGCGTCTGTCCACGTGTACATGCAGAGTAGACATTCGCATCAGTATTTACTTCTACATCCACTTGTGTAGGCTGAAAACTTCCAGTTCACATCAGCCTCCAATTCCAGCCCTGATCAAAGGGTCCCTCCTTTCCACGTTTGTAACCCCCCCAGATAGGGAGTTGTCTTTCATACAGTGATCAAAATATACACCAAATGCTTAAAAATTTTTTTTTGAGACATTGTAATGCAGAGTCTCACTCTGTAACTCAGCATGACCTGAAACTCACTATGATCTTCTTGCCTCCGCCTCCTGGGTGCTAGGATTTACAGGTGTGCACAACCACACCCAGCTAGAATGTTTAAATTTTAAAAACTACATTACAGTAAAAGAAATATTGCCATTCATCCCCCTGAAAGCTGGATGTGTTGGCGCACACCTGTAATCCCAGCACTTGGGAGGCTGAGACAGCAGGATTGTTGCGAGTTCAAGACCAGCCTGGGTTACAAAGCGAGCTCAAGGCCAGCCTGAACTGCATAGCAAGACCCTGTCTCAAAAAAAAAAAAAAAAAAAAAAGAAAGAAGAAATAATTCCCCTCAAAGCACTTTCCCCTGGCTTTGAACGTGCTTATTCTTGCCACTTTCTGAAACAGTTTAGAAGTCCTTTTTTTTCGGTACCAGGAATGAAGACCTCACGCTTGCCAGGCTAGTACTATGTCACCGCGCTATATCCTCAGTCAAGAAGTCCTCTTTTGGGAGTGGCTTTACAAGGTCTGATTTTTTTTCTTGTCTTTTTGAGACAGGGTCTCACTGCAGTGCAGGCTGGCCTTGAGCTCACTTTGTAGTCCAGGCTGGTCTCGGACTCGCAACGATCCTCCTGCCTCAGCCTCCCCAGTGCTGGGATTACAGGCGTGCGCCACCACGCTGGGCTCTACAAGGTGTGATGGTGAATGCAGAAAGACAGGCTGGTGAAAGAACATTACAGCGCGTCCTCACCCACCTTACTTACTGGATCTGACACCTTAAGGCTTCCGGTTCTTCCCCAAACTCAAAACAGCCATGAAAGGTGATGTTTTGAATAGATTCGGGAAGGACTGTGAGGAGGCGCACAGTACAGTAAAAGAAATATTAGCTAAGGAGCCCGAACGACGGCTTCCAGGCCCGCCTTCCCGAGCAGCAAGGAGGGCGGGATCCGCGTGCGTGAAGCAGGGCTCGCAGTGGTTCTGCGGAGCGTTAATCGCCCTGTGTCTTTTCCTGTAGCCATGTGTGTACGCGTGGGCCTCCTCGACTCCCGGGTGCTGTCTCTGGTCCTGCCTGCTCCGGGCTCTTCCGCTGCCTTTTCCTCCCTGGGTCCCCTCTGCCCGAGCCCGGGCTGGGGAGCCCACACCGGGGCCTCCCCGCGCGGCCTCGCACCCCCTGCCGGACCACGGCCGCTCCCACCGCGCCTCCCTCCCTCGGGCCCTGGCACCTCCTCCCGGCCCACCGCGGGGCACGTGCCCGCCCGCCTGGCCCATTCTCCCCGGGCCGGTGGACCGCCCTCTCTGCGGGGACAGGGACTGAGGAGGGCCGGGGAGGGCTGCGGAAGGCCCCGAGGGTTCTCGGCAGAGCTGCCGGCGGCTTCTGACCCTTGGAAAGCCAAGCAGCAGCCAGCGCGGCGCCTCGCTGAGTCCCACCTCAGCGCCCAGGCTCGCGGGCTGGGGTCACTCTTAGGCTGACAGCACCCACGAGAAGAGCGGGCGCTTGTTTGCTCCCGTGCCTCGCTGGCCTCAGGCCGCCTGCTGGAGCTGGGTGGGTTAAAGTTTAATGTTTCCTTGGCTTTCGGGCTGGCCAGGAAATTTCCTATGCCTCCCCCTGGCCGTCCATGCTTCCTGAAGCAGGCGTGTGCCCGCTCCTTCCGGCCTGAGTCACTCCCGGGCAGACAGCTGCCCCGCAGGCCCACCCAGGGCACCACAGCCCGGCCTCCCTCAGCAGGGAGTGGCGCAGAGGCTGGGCTATTTTTGGATTTCCCTTCCGACCCCTTTATAGTTTGCCTTTCTGGGATACTTTTCCTCTTCCCCAGAGGAGAGAGAGAAAAGCAGCAGGCTCCAGAAGCCCTGGCATAGAACAGAGTGTGGATGACAGCGGCTCCGGCGGCCACCTGGGCGGGGTCCATTCATCGGGGACTGAGGGGACTCGCTGGGCCCTCCTGGCACGGCCGTGTCCAGAGTCTGGGAATTTGGTAGCCACAGTTTTGTAGTCTTTGTTTTAAAGAAAAAACTCGCAGGTTGACTACACTGAAGGCTCCGTGACCTGGGCCTGTCCCTGGGCCTGTCCCTGGGCCTAACGATGTCTAACGGGCCTCTCAGGCCCAGCGTGTGCCAGCGGGGTGGAAAGCGCTGAGGACAAGACATCCAGAATGCGGGGTGGGCAGCTCGGTGCCATGGCGGAGAGTGAGCTCTCTGGGTTCACACCTCAGCCTGATGCTGGCTGCGGGATTCCAGAGGTGGCCTAACTTCTCTGTGCTTCAGTTTCCTCCAGCACTTACCTCAAAGGATGGATGTGAGGATTAAATAAATTCACAGATACATATAGATATTCAGAGAGTTCTCAAAGCGCTGCCTAGGGGGCTGGGGGTTTAGCTCAGCGGCACAGCGCCTGCCTGGCAAGTGCAAGGTCATGAGTTCGATTCCCGGTATTGGAAAAAAACAAACAAAAAAAGAAAACAAAGTGCTGCCTAGATATATTCTCCCTCCATTTCTCTATAAATTACAAGCACCCTGGAAGCCCTTGGTCATCTCCTCATTCTGTGAGGCCAAAGCCCGCCCCCCCTTATTTGAGGTTTGAAAGTCTCGTGAAGGCTCCAGGAGATCTGGAGTTCAGGATCACTGTCCTAGGCTGCCCTGCCAAGCCGGGGTTGGCTGTGACCAGCACACGCAAGCCTGTGTGTGCGTCGGCACTGGAAGCAGCCTGCAGGCCTGGCCTGTGCTGCCGCCTGGCCCTGTCCTCCAGGGAAGGGGCCAGCTGTGCCCTGCCCCCGTGGAGGAGAGAAGGAAGCTGGGAGGGCCAGGAACGGTTCACTTTGGGGGTTCAGGAGGGTTGCCAGCTGGACAGAGAGTGATGTGAACTGGCCACAGACTGGTAACAGAGGAGATTTTCACCTGGGAGGCTTCGGCTGGAGGCCAAGGGCTTCCAGGCCTCCCGCGGGAGATGGTGCGGTGGGGAATTTTGACCTCTCTTGCTTGCTGGTCCTGCCGTTCTCATCCCTGTCAGAAACCCAGTGTCACACACTTGAGTTCATATGCATTTCCCCTGCTTTCCTAGCTGTGTGAGACCAAAGGTGAGTAGCAGACACGGCCCGTTCACCAGGGAACACCGGTCCCCTTGTGCTCCTGGAGAAGGCGTCTGCCCAGCCCCGCTCCACCCTGGATGGAAACTCTCCCCTCCCGTTCCGGCTTCCCGAACGTGCCCTCCCTTTCCCTCTCCTCCACCTGCCCCACTCCGGCCGCCTTCCCAAACCCTCTCCCGCTTTAGCCAAGGTCCTGGGCCTAGAAGGCTCAGATCTTCAGCTGTTATAGGGAAGCCGTTTACTGTTCGTCCCAAGTGGGGTACCTCTGGAAACGGAGAGTGGACAGTGGCGTCACCCAGGACTGTCTGGTCAAAACTGGCTACGTGGTTAAGCTAAGTGCGCCCCAGCCCCGGGTCGCTTCACACCCCCAGTGCTTCGGCGCGCGCCCGACCTTCCCGTTCTCGCCAGAGTAACGGTGCCGCACATCCTCGCTCGGACCGCCAGGCGCCGGCCTTCTACCACCCGCCCGGTGGCCGTTGTTGGAGCCCGCTTGTCGGGCTGGCCAGACTGGCTGTACGTTTTCAGGAACTTTGCAAGCCAGATTTTAAATACAGCCATCATTTTTAAACAACATAATGTGAGCTTACCATTCAATATTTTTAAGACAAAGGTAGTAAATATTCTAAATTCATCACTTTCCAGTTATATCACAGTTTTCTATGATCTTGCCCTGAAGATGATTTCTTCTATGATTTCCCCTTGAAATTTGCCCTGATGGGAGTGTTTACACCAGTGCACTTGTCACACTATAAATCAAGGCTTGATTTATTGTCCTGCTGATGTGTCTAAAGGTTCAGAAAGTGATACAAAAAAGAAAATGTTAGTGAATGCAGATGAAAT